GGGCGCTCCGAGCCTGGGGGCCGCCGCTGCGAGCCTGGGGGCCGCCGGAGCCCGCACTGACCGCCCGCTTCCCCGGCGACTGGGGCGGCTCTTTCCGACTCCAACTCTCTTATTACGCGCTCCATGCCGCTCGCCTTTCCACCTGCCGCCGGCGCGCCGCTCACATGTCAGCCTCCCCCGCCCCGCCCCGCCCCTCCCTTCCTCTCCTCTCCCTTCCCCTCCCCTCCTCTCCTTGTCTCTCCCCTCCCCTCCCCCGCCCGCCCGCCCTGCGGCCGCCTTCCCAAATCGGGAGGGAGCGAGCAAGCCGCGAGCCAGGCAAGGCGAGGAGGGCGGAGGCGGGTGGGGGGGGCCGAGGGCGACGGACGGGCAGAGCGTGCCCGCCGCTGAATCGGTGGTGGGACCGCGTGGCGGGACAGCGCGCGGGACGACCAGGAGGCTGGGCATGTGCTAGGACTGTGCGTTGTTGCGGGGACCGCGTAGATCCGAAGGGCTGCCTGGGGGTGGGACGCCTCGTGGGTGGCGGTGGAAATTGGAGCGTGGAGTGTGTTGTGGCCACGGTCGTGCATGGGATACTGTGTCTCGTGGAGTTTGGAGCGTGGGTAGAGAAGTGACTGCTTTTGTGTGTGCAGAATGAACAGCTTTGGGTCCATGAGATGCGGTGTGGGTGCGTGGGAAGATGCGTGCGCTGCGGGCTGATGGTGTCAACTACGAGTGTGTCTGCCGGGTCGTGCAGGGTAAAGTGCGCACAGTGCTGGGTGCCAACTGGGGAACCAGCTGCAGGTGCATGGGTGCTACCTGAGGGCCTGGTGCAAGGGGCAAGCCAGAGAGGTATGGGAGGTCCATGGCATGGTGGGCCCCAGATGTGTATGTTTTCTACCATCTCTAAGATTGCAATCTTCTCAATAGAGGAAGAGTTCCCAGTTAGCCAGCCTTCCCAGCAGAGGGAATCCCCAGAACCCTGGTCCTACTTTTCTGTCCTTTGGGATACCCTCCCTTGCTTCACTCCCAGGTCAGAAAAATAGGGTCAGGACAGATAGGGTGTGGGGAGTCAGCACTGAGCCAGCTTTAGGGGAATTAGAGAGGGCCATCCCCGAGAGCCCACAGAATCCCACCAGAGAAGAGGAGACTTTCTCCCAAAGCACCCCCTCTGGCTGAAACGTGCCTCTTACGCCCGACCTCCTTGTCTGTCTGTCAGGCCGTCCTTTCCCTTTAGCCGCTGGGTCTGGGCAGAAATTCGGGTGTCCTAATCTTCCTTCTTCCGCCCAAAGCTAGGGCCGCTCCCTCTGCAGGCCCTGCCCAGGGGTGAAGCGCTTCCGCAGCAAACTCTTCCCAGATTCTTCGGGAGGATCTCGGGGGACACTGCCGAGCGGGAGGGGCGGGGAGGGGGCGGGCAGGCGAGCTCGATTCTCAGCTGTCAGCAAAGGCAACATTGATCTGCTGAGTGCCGGTGGGGGAGGGTGGGAGGCAGGACTGTGGGCAGGCTGGGAGGGGGCTGTAGGGACCTGGGGGTCCCCAAGCTGGACTTGGCAGCCAGCCATACCCCAACCTCTTAGTGACCTTATGCCTCTACCCAGCTGGGATACCTTCTGGGCGTCTGACCTGGAGCTCTTCTTGCAGCTCCTGACTCCAGGTGTGCCCAGGACCAGAGCTTGGTGGCCCTGGGCAGGTTATGCACAGATCTCCTGGCAGCTGGGGAAGGTTTCTAGACCCCTAATGCACTGGATGCACTATGGATGACCTGTCCTAGCTGGTGGGGTCATTTTCTCTCCTAAACTGAAGCCAGTATCCTCCCCCTACACACACCCCTAGTGTGGTATTGCATTGCCTAATTCTGAGTAGCTGTCTGTCTGGGTAGCCTCCATCTGGACTCCAGGGGGGTGAGGCTGGGTCTTCATGTGAATGATGCCAAGGAAAGCAGCTGCCAGAGGCCTGGAGTCTTTTGAGGCTCTTTTGTGGCAGAAATGGAACTTGAATTCAGGTTGCCCTTATCAGCACCCAGAATATCTAAAATTGGGTCTGTCCTGGGAAATCTGATCTGCTAGTCAGCATCACCTTGAACCCCATACCTCTCTTCTGGTGTGGGGGACTTCAAAGTCCCTTCTATGCCTGTGTGGAGTCCTCCCTATAGGGAGATGGTCCCTTACTATCTTTCTAAACTTCAGGTCCATATCACATTTTCAAAGATAGCAGAAGGAATGAGATTGTAGTTGCAGCAAGAAGGGGAAGTTAGATCTCAGGAAACACTTCCTGTTTTTCCCATAGGTGCATGTCTAGGAGAGGAATACCTCCACTGATGTTAAAAATGAAGAGCCACAGAGCTCTTCCCAAGGGGTGGGTGGGATGGGGAAGCGGCTGTAGGAGGCCCTGGCAAAGCTTTGTGTGTGTGTGTGTGTGTGTGTGTGTGTGTGTGTGTGTGTGTAAAAGTGGAGGAGGCAGGTCAGAGAGGACAGGTGGCCACTCTGAGTGCTACCCTGTGGCCTTCCACCCCACTCCAGATTCCCAGGACATTACTGGGAGGATGTATTTTCCCTGCTGCAGCCTTTAGTGACTAAAACACTTTTCTGAGAAAACAGCTGCCCCTGGCTTGCTCAGCTGACCTCTCTTCTAGAGGAAGGCGGGCTTTGTGGTGGTTTCCAACCTTCTTTCCTCTTTTCCACCTGTTCCCTCAGCCCCATCCTCAGCAGCTTCCTTCTCACCTCCAGCCCCACCCATGTTCCTCCATAGTTCCACTACCAAAATGTCCCTGCTCTGCCCATACTCACCCACTTGCACAGTCTCTCAAGTGCCTTGTGTCCTGGTCTCTCCATTTGTACAAGAAGGGGGCAGGCTTCATGACCTGCTGGCATCTATCGCTGTCCCCTCATCCATCAATGGAGTGAGTATTGATTGGGAGGAAGAGTGCTCCCATTTGCTGAGCACCAACTGTGTGACAGGTTCAGTCCTTTATGAGACAAAGAGCAGTCTTCTGTGAGATTAAGGCTCAGAGAAGTTCGTGAACCTATCTAAGGTGACACAGCCAGTTGGTGACCCAGAACTGCCTGTGACCTTTGCTCTCCCTGTGGCCAGCAACTGCCTCTTGGGAGGTGGATGCTGAGGTCAGTGCTGGCTGAGGGAACTGTCTGTGGCCAGCCCTTTTTCTCTAGGACTCACTTCAGCTCGAGGATGGACTCCCAGGTCTGAAAGGATGGACGTTCAGAAATGGTTGGGACTTCAGCCCTTGGGGCCAGGTCCAAGCCTATTACTGACTTCTGTTGAGACCTCAGGTCATTGAAGGGCTTGGGTTCTTCTGGGATGGGAGGGGATGAATGAAGTCAGCAGTTTTGGACTTCTTCAGCAATAGAATCTTTTTACAGACTGAAGCATAAAGTAGCTTACACATCAAGCTGGGTGTGGTGGTGTATACCTTTGTAATGCCAGCATTCAGGAAGCTGAGACCAGCCCGAACTACATAGTGTGACCCTGTCTCAAAAAGACAAAAAAAAAAAACCCCTCAAAAATGTAGAAAACAAGCTCAAGCTCCAGATGTGCTGTGCTGGGGGCTTAGGGACAGGAGTAAGGTTCCACCCACTTGTCTTCTACCTCGCATTCCAGAAATCCCCAAGTTTTCTTATAGCTAGAGAAAGGTGGCCAGTGTCTCCCCAGCTAATGACAGAGGGCACCTATTATGGACTAAGGCCGGGAGGACTTGGGGAGATGTGGAGAGGTGCAGCTCATAATGCCTATGGCTTCCATCAGCAAGGCTGAGCTGAATGCTAAGCCTGCTGCATGATCCCAGACCTGCCTTGTCTCTCAATATCCTAGGAACCCTGTCCCTATCCCCATTTTGTTTTTATGTTTTTCAGTACTGGGTATTGGGGTCTCATACATGCTAGGCAAGTACTGTATATTGAGCTACATTTTAATTTTGAGACAGGGTCTTCCTAAGTTGCCAGACTGGCTTTGAACTTCCACTCTTCCTGGCTTAGGCTCCTGAGTAGCTGACATACAGATGTTCACTGTATAGTACTCACCCTCACTTCACAGTCAAAGAAAACCAAGCCTCAATAAAGAGATTTGCCTAATGAAGTTCTTTTTTAATTTTATGTATTTAGTACAGGATCTACAGGGTCTTACTACATAGATCAGGCATAGTAATTCTCCTGTTTTCAGCCTCCCAAGAGCTGGGATTAGAGGCACATACCACCATGCCCAGTCTCAATCGCTGTCTCAGTGCACCCCAGGGATAGGGCTGGCAAGGGATCAAACCCGGCACTGCACTGTGTCTAAGCAGGCACTTAATGGAATTGTTGACGCTCACTGCAGTGCATGCAGGTGGGGTATTGGGGTGGCAGAATATTCTAGAGCCTGGGAGAAGATGAGAAAGTATGATCAGTGCAATGCTGGAGGCCTTGAGTGCCAGGCTGAGGGCACTTTGGCTGGACAGGAAACCGGACACCTTGCTGGGGAGATAGCTCAGAAGACTAAGCGCCTGCCTGGCAAGTGCAGAGTCCTGAGTTCAATCCCCAGTACCGCAAAAAAAAAAAAAAAAAAAAAGAAAAGAAAAGAAAAAAAAAAGCAATGTGCAAAGACTCTAAGGGGTTTTAGGGGCCAGGGAGATGGCTCAGTGGAATAAGCACTTGCCAGGCAAGCATAAGGGCCTAAGCTCAATCCCAGGTT